TATAAGCAGAACCGTGGCAGCAGAAGCTGCAGCCACCAAGGCCCAGGAGTGCTGGGAAGCTGGGGCAGGGGCCCGCTGCTGTGAGCAGGACCTGCGTTAGCAGACGGAGGCCAGAGGGACACCCCGCCTGCCAGGGCTGCCTTCCTGCCAGAGAGGAGCAAGCCCCAGAGGCTACCTTCTAAAGCAGAGCACAGTCCCGCAGCAACGCCACTGGCTGGGACGGCGGCAGGGAAAGCCACCCGCTCCCGCTTCGCACGAACAGCTTCGAAGATCAGCTCAACTGGGAAGCAGCAGCCCAAGCGATGTGCGATGCCTTGCCTGGAGGATGTTTGCTTAGCGGCGGCGGCCTCATCCATCTGCAGACTAGGCAAGTGAGACGTGGGGTTTCTCTGGTTCCCACCACCCCAGGGCCCACCCAGCAGGTGGAAAGCACTGCTCCCAGTACACTTATTTGGGTGGTAGCGGCTGGGAAATCCAAGCAGCCTCAGCGAGCAGGGAGGAGCAGCAGCTGAAGTTCACCGGCCAAACCGCCAGCTGGGGTCTCCAAAGACAGGACAGGCACAGACGTAACCCCAGGCGCCGCAGCCGCTGCTGAGACGCGGGCTTCACCTCCGCTACCATCTGCTCTTGCAGAGGTCACGAGCCCTTAACCAGCCTTCCGAGGGTCCTGGTGCCGGGACTGCGCCCACCCCAATCCTGCGCTAAGCCTCCGCTCGCTGTCCGGGCAGCCAGGGAGCCCACACCAGTCTCTTGGCCCTGCCCTCCCTTTGCAGGAGACCCGCTGGACTAACAGACCCAGCACATAAGGATGAAGATATTTAGAGAAGAGGAATTTATGCCTTTTAAAGACATCAGGACCTCCTGAAGCCAGGAGTGTTCAAACTGTGAATCCACAGCCCCCAGAGGTAGCAGAGGGGTGCTGGAGGATATCTTTTAAGCACGTTACGAGACAATGAATTTGCTCTACAGGTGCCTGTGCCCCCACCGGAAAACAAAAATCAGGTTCATAAGCTAAAAGGTTCAAAACAACAACTTTAAGTGTCTTCTATATGATGGGATGCTCAGCTACCAAAAATAAAACAAGGAAAGATGCTTTTAATGGAAGAGGCCTCTGACGGCCAGGGGCACCTCCCGCACCACAGACAGCAGCTCCGCAGCCCCTGGGCAGCAGCACGATGACGGCTCCTTCCCCAGCGCGCCCTGTTTGTACGTCGTGGACAGTTATTAAATAACCACTTAGGATCTTGCGTCACTATGGAGTTAACCTGGGCTCCCGCATGTCGCAGAGCCGACATTCAGCTGGCGAGGAAAGTTAGCAGCTGAATGCCTTGACTCAGCAGTGGCTTTGTGCCCAGCCGTTCAGACTTCCCCAGTCTTATTCCAGAAACTCTCTGCTGTGGCTAAAAACAGCTTTAAATTGAAAAAGGGTGGATGGGGGTTAAGGGGGGTGCACACAGCAACTTCCCACCTCAACAGCCGAGCATCCTGCTGCTGGTCAGACCTGCGGAGATATGCGGGGAGCAGGAATTTGATGATTTCTCCTCTCCTTTGAAACTACGGTTTTCATAGGGCTTCCAGCCAACACCAGGGAGAAAAATCCCACGTCCCCACAGATTGCTAACTTTCCGGAGGATTTCTCTTTCCATAACCATTTCTCTTCTCCCTCCACCCCCACCATTGCTCTGTGGAGTCACCTCTTCCCAAACATAACCAGTCCCTCTGGATTACAGCCCCGCTCCGACCCACCACCAGGCAGCCCTCCGAGGTGGAAGCAGTTGAGTTATCCCAGTCCAGATCTTGCTGGACAGAGATCCACGTCACGAAAGCCACCGATCGTCGCTGCCAGTGGCAACATCACAACCCCAATCCGCTCTCCTGTTTGAAGTGGTCCCTCCGGGCAGGAGGATGCTGGAAAGTTGGCGGGTGTGCGCGGAGGGGATGGAGGAAGGGCTTCACCTCCCTCCTCCGCCCCTCAACTGCTGGAGACTCGTGTCTCAGCTCTGCTGTGATCTACCGCTCAACTGGAAGCGATGGGGGAAAAAGGAGGCACAAAGTCAGCTTTTGACTCCTTTCCTCTCCGCTCAGTCCTCATCCACTCGGTCTCCCTTTGCACACACCAGCAGCAGGACTGGGGCTTGTAGAGCCGGCGAGAGATGGAGAAGGGCTGAGGAACCCAGGTTGCAGGCCTGGCAGCCAGCAGCAACCTGTTTTTGTTGGTGCTCCCAACACTGGCAAAGGGGCACTGAAGGAGCTGCACTGCAGGAAAGCAGAAGGAAAGCCCTGGCTCAGCCCGGGAATTGCTCCTGCGCTGGGGAAAGCAGACACCACAGGGGCCCGGAGATAGGTGCATGGGCTGTCCAGCCTCCTCCTTCCATTCCCAAACACTGCCAGGTCCAAGGACTAAATTAATTCTTTGCAGTTAAACTCAGAGCTCCACAGATTGCAGTCAACTGTGGCCCCTGAAAGTGGTTTCACATTTTGGGGTGATGGGAGCTAGGTGGATCCTCTACCCGTGCCCCAGAAGAAAAAAATCAAGCAGAGGGTGCATCCAGAGCACCCAAAGGCACGTCCCCTTCCTGCCACCAGCCACCACTGCCGCGGGCGTGCTGCGACCCGAGGTGTCAGCTGGGGAAGCCGAGGTGAGGGACGGGGAGCAGGACGGGGCCCAGCCGCGAGAGCGGCTGCTTGGCTTGGCACCAAGCACGCTGGCCAGTCCTTTCCCCTTCCTCATTCCCGCCTTTCAGCCGCCCAGCATAAAAAGCTGCCTTTTTCTTTTTTTCACTCTGTTCATGGCCTGGCTCCCTTTCAAATTCCCGGAGAAAAGTATTTATCTGCTGGATGAATGATGACATCCGGCCAAAGCCCAGACACACCATCACGTCTGATCCAGCCCAGCCGTCCATCACAGCTCTCATCTCCTTATTGGTAAGCTGGCGGCCTGCCAGCACTCGGGGCTCGGGAAAGGGCTCCCACCAATGTCTCCAGAGGAGAGAGTCAAGGACTTTTATTAATTAGCATTTTGAATTGTAGCTAATAAATACCCCTCTGGCATTCAGGCTGGGATAGGAAACGCAACAGAGATGTCCTTGAGATGCTGTAGCATTTTGCTGCTAGAGGCAAACGGACAAGAGTCACCCGCTAAGTCCTTCTGCGTGCTGCGGAGAGGAGCAGGCAGCGGGACGGGACACGACCCACCGCCGGTTCAGGGTGCGTCACCCGCTCGCCCGCCCAGCACCGCAATGGCCAAACACTCACAAACACACGGCAATTTCAGGGTGCGTCACCCGCTCGCCCATCCGGCACTGCAATGGCTAAACACACGGCAATTTTGCAGTGAGTGCAATTTTGCACCCGGGAGCTGCTCAGCAGTCCCGCAGGACACCGAGTACCTGAGGACGGACCCCACAACACAAGCACATGCTCGGTTTTGGACTCGGGGCTGGTGCCTCTGCTCCCCTTGGCTGTTGGACTCAAACCAGGGAGACAACGAGGGACGTGGCACTGATCACTGCTTGGCCAGACGGCCAGGAGCTGCAGCTTCAAACACAGCAGAGCTGCACCATGCCGGGGCTGACGCTCAGCACCCAAAGGTCTCCACATCTGAGTCTGCTCCTTGCTCTGGCCACAATCCCCACCCCGCCTGATTCCTGGCTCAGTCCACAAGACAAAATAAAGGTGAGGAAACTGAGTGCAAGACTGAAGCTGCCCTTCAATCCACCACGTGTGACGGTGCCTCAGCTACAGGCGGGTTCAATAAGCAACTCCCTTTGCAATACAGCTCACCATCCTCTCACGCGGGGCTCCAAGCCTCATGCACAGGAGGCCCCCCACGTCCCAAAACAGCCCCAGGGGCTGTTAACCCCTGCGATAACCCCCCACCCAATGTTCTTGCAAGCTTATCTTTTCCTTGGTCTCTTGCTTGCCCCTGAGCTGCCGCCTTTGCTGAGGGATGATGGCCGGGGCGGCAGGTTAAGTGGTGACCCATAGCTGGGCAGGACGGACGAAAGCACCAGCCACCAGCAAGCAATTAGTTAATGGGCTCCAGGGCCCTCAGCCCAATCTCATCAAGTGACCACAAGCTGCAGCAGAAATGATGACAGGCCAAGCAAATAGAGACAGGAGCCAAAGGAGGAAAGCAGCGATGGGAGGATGGGGGAATGAAGAGAGGGAATGAAAAAAATCAAAAACCCAGGGAGCATAGTCCACAGAAGCCTAACACTTAGCCGGAGACCCGAAAGGCTCAGTGTTGCTGCCCAGAGGAGAAAAACAAAATCGCTTTCTCTGCCTCCACACCCTTCCAATACAGAATGATGTCAAATCAGTTTACTGCCCTTCCTCGCACAATTAATCAAGCCTCCTCCATTGCTCAACCTTTGGTAGAGCTGCGCATCGTGTCACATGCAGCAAGAAAAGAGAGCAGCATAGCAGGAGATGGAGGCGGCTGCTCAGATTTATGCTGCTTGTGATTAGGAAGAGATGGGTGGCTCCTGGCCAAAGCAGCTCATAGTCACAAGACTTATAACCACACAGAGTTGCGTAAGGCACGCGAAATTCCTTGCAAATGTTCCTTGTTTTGCATGGAGAGACTCCGGAGCGTTGTTACGGATGCGGCTCATGGACATGGTAAAGGAAAAGAGCCTTTCAAACAAGGCAGAGGTCGTTAGTAACCACGTGAAATGAGGCTTTTCAGACTGACCATGTTTCTGAAACCAGCAGAGCAGAAAGTGGTTTGGGAGGAGACCAATACTTCATGGGGTCCCAGAGCAGTGTTTCCACTTCCCTGCTGGAGAAGGCTTCACCAGGAGTTGGCTCAGTGGGCAGAGGTGTCCACCTCAAGCTGCACAGCCCCCGTTCCCTCTCCAAGAAAACCTCCAAATCCCAGATCTGTGACTCGCGGGGGAAACCATTGATGAACATCAGACTCTTATGGATAATAGCAAGTTCAAGGCAGTTTGTGTTTCATCACCACCCCAATGGCAGCAGCCACCCAACCAACTTACTCTTTGGGGGGTGTCAAGTCGTCAGGTCGTGTCTCAAAGAACTGGAGAACCTCCTCGCACTGGGAGATGTAGGGAGGCAGCTGGATCAGAGCCTGTGGACGAAACAGAGACACTGGTGATGGGAAGCATCAAGACTGAGCAAGGAGCCGAGTGAGGACAGGCCCTCAGAGCGCAGGGGACGGGGTCACGGCACCGAGCTTGGCACCCGTGTGGTTCCCAGCACACAGGAGTGCAGAGCCAGGCTGGGGAGAGCTGCTGCAAACACACACTGGAGTGGAGCAAGACCCAGACAGCCCCCAGTTACACCCACCACACCACACCAGCTGCAACTGAAGACTAAAGGAGAATAAGCAGAGACTTCCCAGGCCCTGCTTAGCCCAGCTCCAGCCTTTTGGACAGATGAGCTCTCGCAGGGAAAAAAAAAAAAGCCACGGAGACGTCCATCGCAGGATCCAGCCTCCCAGCCATGGCAGGGCTCAGATTCCCAGCCGTGCTGCGGGCATGGAGCTGTCATCCTCAGGAAGGGCTGGGTGGTTTATACGTGGCAGACTCTCAGTGCCATCAGCCCTGACCAGCACGTCCCAAAAATGCTCCACTGGGCAATGGCAGCTCAGGAAGAGGCAGGGAGAGAAGCAACCGGAGCCAAAAGCGTGGACACCAGCTTATCAGGGCAAGGGCTGAAGGCTGCTACGCACGCTGTCGAATGGCAGGAGCTATGAGCTGCCTCTGCTTTTCTCCTTTCCCTTCGAGGAAGCCTGTTGCAAAAAGACAGGCTTCAACGGTGGGACTTGCAGGGTAAGAGTGTGCACGTCTGTGGGAGCTGGGGGCAGAGACTGGGACAGCAATATTCGCCTTGGGCCAGACCTCTTGTAGGTCCTTTCCGACGTGGGCTGCAGCGAGGGCTGGGCAGGGAAGGCGGGATGGGCAGAGCGCCCTGCCCTGCTCTCTGCTCGTGGCAGGGAACGGAGTCACAGGTGATGGCGACTGCAAAAAGTAAAAAAAAAAAACCATGCAATCGAAAAAGGGATGATTTGAAATTGGGGAGCAGTGCTGCAGCCTGACCTGGAGCAGATATTGAACCAGTTTTCTACATAATTCCCCCTCCCCTCCATTTGCTGTCACAGCAGTCTCGTGACAGCAGTGTGGGCAAACCGAACCTCCACTCATTTCTGTATCGGAGACAAAGCCACATCTGCCAAGCGCCGGGGTTACCACAGAGATCAGATGTGGCTCCATATTGACCTAACTGCTGGCCCCCAAAAGCCCTTCCAGCCCTTCCGCACACAGTCACTCCCTGCCAGCACGGCAGACAGTCAGACCGCTAATCATGGGCCAGCTGCGATCAAGATCATGTGAGAGACAAACCTACTCACTCCACGGCTTTTGAGTCCAGAGAAGTCTATTCAAAGACCAAGTTTTGCATGGATGCCATTCCCATGTGGGTACCACTCCCCAGTTTGAGGCATCCCATGATCTACACAATTTTCCCCATGCCAAAAGCACTGATTTTGTGGCCTGGAGAAGGCTCCATGTCCTCCGATAGCAGGGGATGATCACAGAAAACACCCTGTGCTGGAAGGATGAAAGGCAAGACCCACAGCTCATTTCTCAGGACATCTTGAAGGAAGCCCACCTAGAGCTGACCCAGCTGGCACAGCAGTGCCCGAGGCAGGCAGGCCACCCTGCAGTCTAGCTTGCCATGGTCTACAGCAGCTATGGCCACCAAATCAAAAACAGTGGCACAAATAGCGTGATGCCTCCAAAGGAGTGAACTTCAGAACACGGCTTCAGCCCATGGTGTTGGAGCCACAGCAAGTCATCTTACCCGCCCTGCTGCCTGCAAGCCTGAGGATAGAGGTCATTTACCAGAGACAGACAAGCCTTATCGCATCAAAATCCATTTTTCAGGGAGTGAGAAAGGATTATTCTCTAGCAGCAATTTTTTTAGTGGTCCACCCAGTCTTGTTGGGGTAGAGCATCACAGCATCACAACTCCATCATCAACCCTGCAACTACCACTTTCTCAAAATCCCTTAGACAGGAGGAAGGCAGTTCCCACACCAGGGGAAAGACCAACAGATGTAGAACACAAAGAGAATAAACCGGAGAAATGGGAAGAAATTTTCTTGTCATTCCTATCGTCATTTGAAGTCTCAGTTGCTCTGATTCTTTTGCTGCTTTTCTTGCACCTTACCTTAAATTGCCATGTTTTTCAGCATGGTGGGACCTGGAACGGAGCCCTTCA